TGACATCTCAAGGACATTCATGCCACTGGTTTTCATATGGAGAAAGATTTAATGTTGATAAACAGATATATGGTTTTGAACAAAACAAAGCTGTTTTTGAAACTGAATTGTGCACCAGTGATGAACACCTTATTACTAAAATGTATAAGCTTTTATTGAGATTTAAAACAGAAGATGAACAAGTTAAAGACTGTATAATAAAATAGGCTAAAAATTTTGGACATAATATACAAATGGAACAATGGGAAAATATGTGGATGAAAGGGTTAAAATTTACTTGAAGGAAAATTTCTATAAAATGATGTATAGATAGTATTTGTCACTAGAAAGACTATCCAAAATGTACAAAGGGGCTTCAAATATATGTTGGAAATGTGAACAACATGAAGGGTCTTTTTATCATCTTTGGTGGGCATGTAGTAAAGCTAAAAAACTTTGGACTCAAATTCATATATTAATTCAGAAGATGTTGAAGGTTAATATACAGTTAAAACCAGAGACTTTCCTTTTTGGACTGATGGATAAACAGTTGGAAAAACCTCATGGACATTTGTTTTTATAAATGATAACGGCAGCTAGATTTTTATATGCTCAAAGGTGGAAAGACTCAACATTACCCACAATGGAACAATGGATCGTGAGGATAATGGAGTTAGCTGAGATGGCAAAATTAACATCTTTGCTTAGAGAAAAAACACTGACTAACTTTAATGCCAATTGGAAGCCCCTTTTGGACTTTTTGCAGGAGACAGAAAAAAATGAAATTATGATTTACGGATTTGATGATTAGTTAAATAGTAAGTTATACAAAATATGTATGTCAAGATGTAGTTTTAGAGTGAGAGGTCACTAGATGATTTATCTATACAATATCTGCTGTATAATAAGTTGGAAGTCATTCTTTTTGTAATTTTTCCTGTCTTTCCTTTTCTTTCCTTTTCATCACTTTTGTATTCTTTCTTTATTTCTAACTCTCTTGTTCTCCATTTCTCTCTTTGATTATTAGTACTTGTTTGCTTTTATCTTTATGCTTTTTATAACTTAATACAGTCCTTATATATATAATAAAAAAAGAACACGGAAAGGCAAATGCCCTTGTTTCCTTGTTATTTCCAACGTTCCAATATACCACCAAAAAAATAATACATTTCTGTCCATTTGAACGAAGGGGAATCTTGGATATATTCAGAAAAGCAGCCCTGATGTGGTCTGGGTGTAAATTACACATACATGCAAAGCAGGACAGAGGGCCAACATATAACTCCCTCACACAGAGAACGGAAGGCATTTAGCTCCAAGTCAGTCTTCCACAATAGCATGAGTCCAGCACACCTGCTAAAGTGAAATAAATCTAATAAAAATGACTCATTACTTACTTCATCAACTTGAGGTTCTTGAGCTTGGGGAGCATTGGGCACAGGAGAATCACAGTCTGGGCTGTAGTGCTCGCAGTGATCATATGCTGCTCTGGGATCACCAACGATCAGCAGCTGCTGAATATCACCCTGCCAGGGAAACATAAAATTATAAATTAGCAACCATTACAGGTCATGGGGTGTAATGAAAAGGAATCCTTCTTCTTTACAAAGCAAGCTTGGTTAAGTGAGATGCATCTAACACAGGTTTAATTATTCTGCAGCACCTGTTAATTTATCTGAGTAATTTATATTTGTCTGTTATGGCTCCAGCACAGCTTGTTAATAGCTCTGTTGCAAACAAATAGGCGATTTATAGCAAGTTGAAGTCATTTTGTGGCAAGAGCCAAACGTTTTAAGCCCTTATGCACAAAGTGGTTGCATGAATCATAAATGGAGGCTGAAACTATCTTGTTGTGATGTAATGGGTGGAAACAATGCTATTCATAGATCATCAAGCTGTAACAAGGATGACTAGACAGGTACTTCTGATGGCTGCCTCAATAAGCAAACGAAAAGTTCAGAGTTTAAATAATGATTTTGTATGTGTGTGTGTATGTATGTGTGTATATATATATATAAATAATTTATGGCTAGTGAAGGGTAGTAGTATATTTAATAATTGAGTGCATGGCTCCAGTAAAGCTAATAATCTCAATTTATCTGGGAACTTGGGGAGTTGTAGTTCAATCCATCTGGAAACTGCCAGGCTGGGAAATACTGATTTAAATCCATGGTTCCCCTCTTATTGAAATAAATGAGGTTTTAGATGATTTATTTTGGGGAGGTTAATTCACTCAAGTTAAAAAAAGAGGGGATACAAACAAATCAAAACAAAGAAATCTTTAACTCCCCCAGTACTTTTTGAAAATGTCTTCCTATTAAAACTCATGGATATTGAAATGATTTGATTTTGCGGGATCGTGATCTTAGTTTTCTTTTCTTTTTTTCAGAAATGAAATAATAGTGTATTTCACAAGGCATTGAAGACCTGGCTATTTCCATAGGCATTTGGGCCAGATGGATAGATGAGTTCTGGTACTGATGTGTTTTTCTGTGAGTGGGGCTATTGCTTATCCTCAGATACCAGGGATTATACATGGTGAGTTTTTCTGTGTTTTAATCTGGTAAGCTGCCCATAGTCAGTTATGTGAGATGCGCATAAAAACAAACAAACAAATGGGTAGGTAACTACAATACCTAGCAGTCATAACTCTGGTTCCAGGTAACATGACCACCAGAGACACATGCAGAGAGTTAGGGAGGGTCACAAATCCTTGCCTTTTCCCTCTTTAGGTCAACAGGCATCTCACTTTCCCAGAGCTTCTGACAGCATGGAAAGAGCCCTCCATGGCCATTTCTGTACACATGCAGGTATGAAACAGATTTTCAGCTGCAAACATAGAAGCTGGCACTAGAGATAAATTGTACTATTCGATTCCCCGTCGTCTGAATGTACAAGTTTGCACAATGCACTAAATCATGGGATGTCATAGCTTGTTGGACAAAACACAAATGGCTAAGTTTTTAAATTATGCTAAGTCAGAAACCACTATAGTCAGGTTCACAAAATACACTAAAACCAAACCAACTAACAGCATTATGACTTAGTACAAAACAGGAATTCAGCCAAATCTGAATGTCTGACGTATCATTTTTATATAAACTACTGGGCTAACTTCTTCCTCCTTTAAGCTGTATCCACAGGAACTACAGTTACAAGAATAAATCTTTGAAAAACAGTATATTATCTGCAGTAAGACAAAAGCTATTTGTTGTCCAACAGCTATTTATTGTCCAAGGACCTATGATCATTGTAAGAACTGCCAATGTACTTCACATAAAGTCTGGCTCACATTAGACCCACCAAATGAAGGAACTTGACAAAGTGCATTAGCCTCTGCATAGGATGAGTATAAATTCAAGTTAAATAATAAACTGAAACTAACATTTCATCAAAAACAAATTACTGCAGGCAGGTCTAACTAAAGCATGGATTGCATCTAGTCTCTATAATGAACTTAACAGTGTTAAATTCTGTGGTGCGTTGTGGCTATTTGCAACCAGAAATACTTATTGCAAAGGCATTGTTTTTAAGTGATTTAACAGTGCTTTGAGAAAGATTTCTCACGTTGCACAGATTTGTATCCAAACTTGCCATAGGTGGACCTTCACTAATGGCATACTTCTACCGGTGGAAGTTGGGTACCTGTTTTTGTTACTTCCTTCTCCTTCTTCTTCTGAAGCATTTACCACCCCCCATTCCCCTCAAACCTGCTTGAGACAATGTAGGCTATTCTTTCCAAGCTGGTACCTTCAGCTATGATAGCTCAGAATTCTGACAAATGCATTCCCAATGACAATGGGAGATCAGGTCAGGTCAGGTAGGCTGTGCCAACATATTTTTGTATTAAAATCAAACAAACATGTTTAATAGATACAACATTGGGAAGTGGGTATAGAGCATAAGCTGCTATCTCTTGTTCAACCTGTACTCAGCTCCCTTTCAAAAAGCAATAAAAATGATTAACAGTTTCCCCCAGTGTTAGGCAAGTTACTAATGAAGATTCCACTTCCCTACTAAAAACAAACAATGAAAGAATCAATCCCCATATTATGATGACTTGTTCTGCATTTAATCCTCTAGTTAATCGAGCGTAGAGAAGACTAATGCTTTAATCTTATTTTACTTACAGTGGTGCAATTGACTCACAGTTATTCCCATTACCCTCTCCCACATTTGGATCTTATAATCAAATCATTATCCAGAAGCAACAGGCAGTACTTTAAAGTCACACTTAGGTTTCCTTGACTTTAATTACCTTTGCTTATGAATATGCTTTGACTGTTCAGAACTGATGACTTTAATAGAGTAATTATTTTCTCACACACACATATTAATCCATAATCATATCTTGCTTCAAAAAAGCACATGAATGAAATCAGAAAACCTACAAGCCTTTGCTTGAATATTTCATGTGTTTTAGAATAAGGAATTGAGGGTTTATATATTTTTATTCATTGAGAACTAAACTAAATTCCTAAGGCATTATTTAAGACATTTCATCCTGCTCCCATTTAAAATGATGTGTAAAGTGTTTATCCCTATAAGCATTTTAAAAAATTCATTTTATTTACATATCAAATTTGTCACTGCCCATCTTGTTAAAAAAATATTCATACAGGGATACATGTTCACTGTCAGATAGCAAGCTGAAAATTTTCTACCAGTACAATTGTTGGGTTAATACAGTACACTAAATCATAATTTTGAACAAGACATGGTATCTGAGTTTACTGAGAATGCTAAGCCACAATTACTGGGTTCACACATCTCCATAAGCAAAAGAGAACATATTATGGGTTTAGGGCAATGTATGAAACCAGCCAACTGAAAGGACAGACCACTGGAGCAACTTCTGGTGTACTGTTAGAATCTGTTGTCCCTTATAGGCAAACATTTGATGATTTCCCTTGCTGCTGTGTAATCAGATTACACTGTACTTTTCACACTTAAATATGTTTCATCAAGAAACAGAAAATACACTGCTCTCAAGTATTTATTCTTCATGACAGAAAACACCAGCTTCCTAATCTTTTTGATTATTCATATTTTTACTATGTTTGAATTACTTTAAAGATAACATTGCTACTTTTTTTAAAAATTAAAATGCCACTGAGAATTGAAATATATGTTAACAAGTTCTAACTTTCTGTGCATGTACATACATGCATTCTGGAGTATTCATCCATATCCAAAATGGATTCTGTGAATTCCATGTTTTCCAGTGGAAAACCACTGTGGTAACAGAATTTCTTCCTAGAAATACTAATAATCAGCAAGATTGCAGAGATTAGATTTATTCACTTAAAATATATCTAGGCCCACTAAAGCTGATTAACCAGAATTAATATAGCTAGTTATCAATGATAGCAAACAAATTTATAAAGGTGGACAATACTTTTATTATGAAGGGATCAAAAACTAAACTGGCAATATCTAAATTGGCAATGTTAACTTCATAGCTTTAGA